ATTAAGGGAGGAAAGGTTTATTTAGCTCACAGTCAGTGGAGGTTTCAGTCCATACTTGGCTGGCTCTAAGGCAGAGGGGCACATGGCAGAGGGCAGCAGTTCATGGTGGCAGAAGATAGTAAGAAGCAAAGGCAAAAGGGAGGAGCAGTGGTGGCAGCAGTGGCAAGCCTGTGTCCTTTTCTTCTACTGCCTTCATGCTATCTGCCCCAGGCTGAGTGTAGCACTCACATCCATGATCCCAGAAGTACTCAGACCCATAATCCCAGCCTTGGATCATAAATTAATTACAAACGCTAGAAGCCACCCCAGTAACTGCATGAGTCTTTGGGGGGACACCTAGATACAAACCATAATATTTCATCCCTGGACCCCCAAAGACTAATGTGTGTCCCTTTATGCAAAAGCCATTTTAGTCTATCTCTTAAGAGCTGCTGAAGTCTATCTCTAAGCATTGCTGAAAAGTCCAAGTCCCCAGTCTCCTCCAAGGTCAAAGACAAACTCTTAGCTATGAGCCTCCATACAAAAGAAAAGTTTAAACCCTTCCAACATTTAATGGCACAATAAAAACATTACCGTTCCAAAAGGTACAAATAGTGGAATACAAAGCAAGTCCAAAATCGAGCAGAGCAAACATTGCCCAACTCAGGGGCACATTGTCTGGTCTCCCAGGCCTTCTTCTGAAATTTAGGTGAAAGTCTTCTTAATCTCAGAATCTTGCATTTTGCCTGCGCCTAAAATCAACCCCGCACGGATGCCAAGGTCTGCTGACAGGTGGAGCAGTAGCAGGGCAAACGTTAAGTCCTGCAGTTCCGTGTGTAACATCTGTAGTAATCTGTGATGAGTTGTGAGCTCTGAAAGCCTTACATGGCTCCGCCCCCATGGCCCTTCCGGGGGAATGTAGCTCCCATGGCTTTTCTCTTAAACCTGCTTTGCTCCCTTCTTGCAGTTTTTGTTAGATAATCCATGTGCCTGACTTTTCCAAACTTTTGGGTTCTCCACAGAACTTTAAACTTCTCACTCACAGCTTCACACACTGCCCTCCCAGGAGCATACTGCCTGGCCTCCCAGGCCTTCTTCTGAAATCTAGGTGGAAGTCTTCTTAATCTTAGAACTCTTGCATTCTACCTGTGTCTAAAACCAACCTCATAGGGATGATGCCAACGTGTGTTACCAGGTGGAGTAGTAGCAAGGTTTTCTTCTCTCGTGGCTGTAGGGGTCAAGTGCCTGGATCTCTAAGCACTCTGAATCTGATTCTGAGGAATAAATTCTCTATAACACTGCCATTCTGGAACATGGTGTGCTTGCTGCCACCATTCTGGAACATGGTGCTTTGTGGCTTTCTCCTCAAAGCAAAGTCTTTCTCTTTTGCAGTTTTGAAGCTGTAGATTGAGATTTGCTGCCTCTTGTGATGCCCTCAGGCTATACTTTCTATGCTTTTGTTCCTTCCTGGCAATGGAGATCCTCTCTGTTCTATCAATCATTGCAGTCCACAACCTTATTGGTGCTTCCTTTTTGGCTAAATTCACAACATTTTTAATCATCTTGCTGCATTCTTTGCTCTTGATTTGCAACATCAAGCTCACTAAAAGCCCCCAACAATAGCCATACCACTGCCTCAGCATTTGACTGCCTTGAAATTTCTTCTTCCTACTGAACCAGTCTGTAGTGCTTAAACTCAGTCTCAGGCCAAATCTCTGGATGCAAGAAAAATGCAGACAAACTTTCTGCCAAGCCATGACACACATCATCTGGAGTACAACAACTAATGTAGTCCTTCTTCCCAGAAGAAACCTCTCTAGCCTGGCCTTTACAGGCAGGATTTCTATCAGCCTTCTGGTTTTCTGAACTCTAACCAGAATCTCCCATACAGAGCAGCCAAAGCTGTTCCAGCACTTCATTTGTAAATGATATCTCCAAACTCTTCCTATCTCTTCCCATAAGCCATTCCCAAAAGCTTGTAATCCACATAGTCAAGTTTAGTCACAACAAGGACCCCACTTCTCTGGTACCAAATTCTGTCTGTTACTCTTTTCTCATTGCTGGGACAAAACATCTGAACTCTAAAATTTAGAGAGGAAAGTTTTGTTTAGCTCACAGTTAGTGGAGGTTTTAGTCAATTCTTGGCTGGCTGTAAGGGGCACATGGCAGAGGGCAGCAGTTCCTGATGGCAGAAAATAGCAAAGTCCAAATGCAAAAGGGAGGAACAGTGGCAGCAGCAGCAGTGGCAAGCCTGTCTCCTTTCCTTCTACTGCCTTCAGGCTATCTGCCCCAGGCTGGGTATAGCACTCACATCCATAACCCCAGCAGTACTCAGACCCATAATACCAGCCTTGGATCATAAATTAATCATGAATTCTAGAAGACACCCCAATGACTGCATGAGGCTTTGGGAGGACACCTAGATGCAAACAGTAGCAATAAGTATAGTGTTTATGTGGATGAATTCATTTTTAGTAAACAAGTCAGTGCAGTTGGTTTAATCTATCCAAGAGAAAAGGAACACAAAGCTAATTGAAGATAGGAAGCTGGAGAAAGGAAGGCAGCTACTGGTCTCGTCATATCAATTTAAAGGGCTTTCATTGCTGGCTGGCGATAAGGCAGTAATAGAAGAATTCTCCTATGATATGTGTTCTAATTCTACTCTTTCATTTTCTTGTGCATGTTAATTCTCATGTATTCTTTGAGTATAGTTTGCTCAACTTTATGAGTACACCCCAAGCATCTTTGAGAAAGATGACATCCAGAGGAGGGAGGGCGGGAGCAGCATGAGGATGTGGAAAGGATTAAGATGTGTTATGTGTGTACGACGTGAATGTTATCATTAGGCACTACACATATAGACTAATAAAAATATATTATAAAACATACCTGCAAGCTAGTAGCATAGAAAAGCTGCATTTGACTTGAAAGTCCAACTCCCTCAGCCAGCCAAGCAAATCAAAACCTATAGAAAGCCATACTATTTCATCTCAGCTGCATAAAATGGCAGCATAGATGTGTCTTTAATCATTCTATGCGTCATGGTTCAGAGATGATATTAACTAAGAAGTACTGAGTAAAAGAATTTCAGTGTGCATTTCTGACAGTGTAATTGTTCACTATGAACAGTGGGGTGGAAGTGGATTATCTGGGGTCTTCTATGCAGAGTCACAGCTAGGGATGAAAAGAGGGAGACCACAAGGTAGAAATAGACAGTATATGCTGAATGTATGGAAACAAATAAGAAAATAGAAATATCAATCAGTGGTCTTAGAAAAGAATTTCTGGCAGAAAATTTTGAGGAACCACCATACTAGAATTTTAGATAGATTTAATCTAAAATTGGAATGTCACTATTTATAAGCAGGCCATCACATTTTATTACAACAATAAAATAATTCTTTCCATACCTATGTTGTTTGTCAGACCTAAGATGAAAATGTGTATTAAAGTCCATCTGTCTGGAACAATATAAAAATAATTATTACTTCTTTTATGATATAAAGTAGACTTTGTTTACTTTTAGTCCCTTTGACACTTGCATTGAAATAGAAACTACGTGGTATAATAGGAAAGGCATTCTGCAGATGTATTGCTTTAATTCAAAGTATTGTTTAAATATATCTTTGCTAACAGGTAGAACAGATGTGCAAAAGTAGGTCACTTGTCCTTTACCTCACAAGGTTCTGATATATATTAATACCACAAGGATTTACCTGCCCTAAATTGAATATTAGTGTAGCAATTG